AAGGCATCCCCCCCCCCCCCCCCAAAAAAAAGTTGTAACTGGCTGAAAATCATGCTCTTGATGTAGTTTTTCATAGTTAACCTCTTCAATATAACAAAACACCTTGCTGTTGGATCACTAAGCAGGCACTGTGCCTGCTTACCAGCAGAATATACTTACTGCAGACATACATAATGACTGGGAAGAAGAAGGGAACCTCATGGAATACTGGCTTTGGAAATCAGGGGTATATTTAAAAAATGATAAGGGAGGGACCAGCAGTTGGCATAATGGCTATGTCACTGGACTTCCATGTAGCCCACTGTGGTTTGAGTCCCAGACCTGGTGGCTTAAACTCACGCCAAGTGCGGGTTGTAGTGTAACCATCCCCGGGGGGTGATTTCTCACTTTTTGGCTGTCTCTGTCTTTCTGGTGAGTGCATGTGCTTTATAGCTAAAACCTCTCAAAAAAAAAAAAAAATATATATATATATGGGAGATAATAAGGAATTTTAAGTGTATCTTTTATCTTTAAAGGAATGTGCTAAAAGAATTGCAAAAGTTTCAGCAGAAGCCAAACTTGAAATTGATGAAGAAACGTACCTAAGTTCATTCAAACCTCACCTAATGGATGTAGTATATACGTGGGCGACTGGAGCTACATTTGCCCATATATGCAAAATGACAGATGTCTTTGAAGGTATGGTTACATTTTATATACATGTGGCTTTTTCACAGTAAAATATATACACACATACACACACACATATACATACATAAAATTTTGGTAATAAAATAGAACATTTACTCTGTATAGAACAAAAATATTCTCAATGCATCCTTTTGAGTTATTTAATAAGTACAGTCTGCTCATTATAAATTCTTTTTTTTTTTTTTTTTTTGGAGAGATTTTCACTATAGGGCACGTGCGCTCGCCAGACAGACAGAGAGAGACATTAGAGACAGAAAGCGAGAAATCACCCCCGAGGGGGGATGGTCACGCCGTAATCCCTTCTCCTCCATTCTCCTCTCGGGATCTTGGGCACGCACGCACATGCGCCCGGCGTGAGTTTTAAGCCACCGGGTCCGGGACGTGAACCGCGGTCGACTACGTGGGAGTCCAGCGATGTAGCCATTACGCTAACTGCTGGTTCCCTATAAATTCTTTAGACAACTATTTTAATTCTACTGAGACTAGCAAAAAGACTAACAGCTGAAAGTAAGTGATCATTGTATATTTAATAGCAAACTTCACATCAGTCAGTACTGTAATAGAAACATGAATTAGATTACTGAGCAGAGTTTTAAATGAGTGAATAACTGTTATTCAATTATAGAGAATTAAGATTTAAGATTTAAAAAAATATATATTTTATTTAACTTTATTTATTTATTTATTTATTTTAATTTGTCCAGAGAGGGACAGAGTGAGAAAGAGAGATGGGGGTGAAAATGAGAAAGCAGGCCGCCAGGTCCAGGACTCATACCGTGGTCAGCCATGTGGGAGTCCAGCGTCCTTAAATACCACACCACCTGTTGGCCCCAAGATTTAGCCTTTTTTTTTTTTTTTTATTAGTTTGCTATAGGGCACATGCACTCGCCAGAAAGATGGAGAGAGCCAGAGAGATAGAGAGCAAGAAATCACCCCCCAGGGGGGGATGGCCATGCCATAATTCCTTCTCCTCCATTCTCCTTTTGGGATCTTGGGCACACACACACACGTGCCCAGCGTGAGTTTAAGTCACTGGGTCCAGGACTCGAACTGCGGTCAACTACGTGGGAGTTCAGCAACATAGCCATTACACTAACTGCTCGTCCCAGATTCAACATTTTTAATTATGTTGCAGAGAAGTTTAAACTAGGCATTATAAAATAACTGAATAATAAAAATCAGTAACCTTTAACCTTAAAGAGGAATTTTAAATGAAAAAATAAAGGCAGTGGGAATATAGAAGGAGTAATTATAAATGAATTACAAGAATAAAAAATAAGCAGAGTATTTAAAGACCATATTTAGAAATGCTGTATATTCGGGACTAACAGATGGCGTAATGGTTTTTATCTCTGGACTCCCATGTAGTCAACTACGGTTCAATTCCTGGATCTGGCGGCTTAAAACTCTCGTTGGGTGTGTGTGTGTGCCCAAAATCCTAAGAGGAGACTGAAGGAGAATGGATTGTGGCATGGCCACTCCTTTCTTGAACTTGGACCCCAAAGTTGCCATTCCCCAAAAGATAGCTAATGAAGATTTCAAACGGGAGGGTCAGGAAACTGAGTTTCTAATCATAGATCTAAAACAACCTGAACTTGAAAGGCACTGTCTGTTCCATTTCTCATCTGTGAAGTGGTAATAGGAGTGGGCGTGGCTGACACAGTCCTTTCCTATTTGGAAACTCCTTTCTGTGCAATCAGTATTCTCTGTTAAAGGTAACTAGTGAAAGCAGCATCAAGCCACTTTATTTTTTATCTGTTCTTTTTACTTGTAATTGGCCTGTTAGAATGCATTACCTCAACAATAGGAAATAAACTCTAGGTGGATATCTCATATCCACTTCCTCATTCCCTTAGGGCTTACCTGGAAACTCCTATGTGCATATCCTTTTCTCTTCATTCTTTGCACCTCAGAGCAAAGATCTTCCCAATATTGCTGTGAATTCTGCCATACTTTTTGCCACTCTTCTTAGTCTCAAATCACATTCATTCTGTTGCTATTTTAGCCTACAAATATGTTTACATTTCTCACCCACACCTCCTCCAGCCAGCAATATAGTAGTGGTAAAGGAACAAATGTTGGGTTTAAATCCTACCCACTCTACTAGATTAGTGATCTTGGGTTAGTTTTACTTAATTGTGGGTCAGTTTCTTTGGGGAGGATAATTGCTCCACTTCCTTGTGAGGAAAAGTCAAGAATGTAGAGCCATTAGCATAAGCCTGGAACTTGTCATTCAATAAATGTTTACTGCTCTTGTCATTGTTTAGTAACAGTGATGCTGTCATCCTCATCAACATTTAATCTTATTCCTACAACCAGGCTCTTGGCTAAACAAGAATAACCAACTTCAGTTCTCTACCTCTGGTTTTTTAATCCTTTGCTAATCTGATGCTGAATTTCATTAAAATTACTGAGTGCCACTCAGGACTGTGTCAAATTCAGAAAATAGATTCTTTATCACTCAGCTCGTACATGTCATTTTTAGTACTCTTTATTTCTTGAAACCTGTTAATGTAAACTCCTTGGCATTAGCTGGCAATGAAGATTTCTACTAAGATGCATTTAAAGGCCAAAACTTATTAAAGTATTTACAGTATTTTCATTATTATTTGAAAAGGATAAACTATATTTGTAAGGTGAAGTTTATAAAAGTAGCACTTTTATTATAGAAAACTTAGAAAATCCATATTAATCATTTCTGTCTGTATTCACATCCTGAATGCTGGCGATGACTTTGATCAAATTATGATTTCTCCTTTCCATCTTGTAAAATGTGGAAAGTAACAATACTTGTCTCATGGAATTGTGAGACAAAATACAGAGTACAGACTTGCCACAAAAGAAATGCTCAGAAAATATTGGACATTGCCATTTTTTCTCAAAACACTTAAATTTCACCTTGGTTGGCTATCTTTTAACTATCAATAACTCTCCATTAAAATATAAGAAAGCCCCAAATTATTGTAGTATGTGTGTCCTTATATGTGGGGATGAGGTGTCTAGTGTTTGATGGCTGAGTTTTATGGAATTTGTGTCTGTTCTGATTATTGCCTTTTGCTACTGCCCTTCTTGTAATAAACTTTCCTCTGCTAGGAGCCATACAGTTTTATAGAGTTGTGTAGTGGAAACAGGTGGTAATGAGAGCTGGAGAATTTCTCTAATAACTGCATGGACCTTTTTTGATGGGAGGAAGACAAAAGCTATGAACATTGAACACTCTGGCTAAGGGGATGTATTACTACATACTTCTGTAGAGGTTTGCCATTTCCAGAGAATTTGTGCATCTCTTATCTTCAGTGGTAAAAATCCAGATTAGAGCAAGCTCTTAAATCTTGTTATAATTATCTTACAGATGGGAAAGGGAAGTAAGAGAGTGAGCTAAGGCCCCAGATTGCAGAGCTAATTACTTGGCAACAGAATCTGGACTACAGCCTAGGTAGCCAGCTAACCTAGCCTTTCCTCCATTGAACCATGGCTAAAGTAGGTAAACATCCTGTTTACAGGAAATGGTGTTGTCCTTCAAGGTTAGGTATGTCCATCTGTCTTTTGAGGGGCCAGAATACAGTCTCCTCCCGTAGGATCAATCGTTATCCAGTAAAACTTAAATAGGATCTTTGCGTCCTCATTGTGGCCCCATAGGTATGTTCAGAAACCAAGCATGTTGTCCTTATTGGTCCAGGGCCTTACTGAAACACTCCTTGGGCTCCTGGGCTCACCCCACGAGAAGGAACGTGCTTTGCATGTGGTGCAGTACTGTCTGTGGAAAGCTACATGGCAGGCACTCAGGACCTGGAGGGGCTGGAGGACTGAGGAAAAGGGATTGCAGTATGACAGTTCTCGTTATCAAGAATCCTATATCTCTCTTCCGCACACAGGCACACATTTTCTATCCAAAAAAGGAGGGAAAATGACAGATCTGGTAACGTGATACTCCTTTAAAAGTTCTGTGACATCCACTGCACATGGCACAGACGGTATCCAGCTGCTGTGTGGGGTTCCTGAATAGTGGCAGTTCCTTAGGTTTTCTCAGTGTTCCCCTGGTCCCTGGAGACCTCCAGGATTTATAGACTCGGTTATTCATCTTCGTTAGCCTTCACTCAAAACTCTCTCCCCTGCTCCTAGGGCACTTTTTTGCGTACCTCCCTAATAGCAGGTGTCAGCATGTTTAATAAGTCCTTGCCTCCACCATTTGTCAAGAGTGGAAATCAGACCTTTCACATTCCTAGTGCCCAGCGTACAACTAGTCAAGTCTGGTGGCTGATTTACTTCATCAGAGGTCCCTCAAAGCACATTAGTTCATCATCCAGTGTTTTCCTGCCTTTCCTTTTAACAATAAAAGGATTATTTCCATTTTACAAATGACTTTGTTCCTTTTCTTTCTAGGCAGCATAATCCGTTGTATGAGACGCCTGGAAGAACTGCTTCGACAAATGTGTCAAGCAGCAAAAGCCATTGGGAACACTGAGCTGGAAAACAAATTTGCAGAAGGTATCTAATTCAGAAGCTTTTCCTAATGATTTAGACAAATCTCCTGTGACTGGAGCCTTTGACACAACCTAGAAGGACATTTTGAGATATTCTTCACTGGATTGCCATGGAGGACTATCTAAGAGTGCATCTATAATATTTCAGAGTGTGTTGGGGAAAGTTTTGAGATTTTCTATATACACATATTTACTGTGCACTTACCTTATAGCAGGCATCGTTGTGGGCACTAGAGGATAGAGCAGTGAACAAAAGAAACCCCTGCTGCCTTCTTGGAGCTTACATTCCAGTGCAGGGAGATGGACAATAAACAAGTCAGCATTTACAATATATCATAGGGTAAAATGTCTGCAGGAGAAAACGGGAATTTGGGGGACACATGGCATTCTCTCTGGGCCTCCATATAGAAAGTGACATTAAGGGTTCTTGGTATATGCTTGATGATACACTTGAGTGACAGCAGGAGGCCTATGTGGCTGCAGCAGAGTGAGCAATGAGAAAAATAGGAGTTGGAGGGAGAGAGGACATGATTGTGTAGTTCCCAGGGTTTACTCTACAGTGATTGAGGTTTGGAACACAGGCATAGTGTGCTCTCACACCTTTTTTTCTAATGTAATTGTTGCTGCAAAGGCTAGAGTAGCAGGGTGGAAGCAGGAAGCCCAAATCCAGAATGGATGGCTAGGCTGCGATGGTAGTGATGAGGTGGGGAATGAGTTAAAGTATCAAAGAGCAGCCACGTCATGGCTCTGGTTCAGCTGATGCTAGATTTCTGCCAACTTAGTGTCCTAAGAAGGTGTGTGCAAAAACTGGCCCCACGTTATTGATAGAGGTAGGCCTATTTAAGTCTTAGGTAAGAAAGGTCTTAAGTTTTTATCTGTTCTGCCTACCCTCCACACCACCTGTCTCCTGCCACCCCATACATACATGCACGTAGGGTACTTCAGAATTTTAAAAATGGGTCTGGTTTCTAAGTTTTCCACCTCTAAGGTGGCTGTGACCCCCCCCCCCCTTTGGGTTTCTTACAGGCGAGGGAGTTTTTTTTTTTTTTTTTTTTACTTTTCAGGCTGTCACTAATGAGGATTCTTGTGCTGTGTTTAAAACTACTGTAGAGGGAAATTGCGTGTTTTGTAATATTGACAGTTTCTTTTCTTTTCTCTTAGGAATCACCAAAATCAAAAGAGATATTGTGTTTGCTGCCAGCCTCTACTTATAGAGTCAGCCAGAGGATTGTGGGATTTTAAGTGACTCACGCCACCTGTGTGATTGCACATGACTTCAGATGCTTACAAATGTTGATTTGGTTCTCCCATGTCAAGACAGTTGTTCAGAAGCATTTTAATAGGTGTTATATTTAAATCAAATATCATGCTAAGAAAGCATATTACATACACATTTGTACATAAGCATTACATTTTTTTAATAAAAAAATGTACAGGTGGGGCAATGTTTTAGTGGAAGGCTTGAAACTTATTTCATGAACTGAGAGCGATTAGATAACCACTGTGTTAAGGGTAACTATATACACACAGACAAAGTGGGCATCGAGAGGTATAGCAGCAGCAGTCTTTGAAAGGCCTGTACATCAGGGAGAGACACATCCTGCCTTCTGGCTGCAGTCGTTTTCCTTCAGAGAGCAGGCCAGCTTCGTGTGGGCATCCTGGGCCCTTTAAGGCTGGTGATTGTTCCGATAGTGATTCCCTGTTGTGGGTGTTTCATGGAGAGTTGTATGAGAGTCCTCTTCTTTCCTTTCTTTAAAAGGGGAATTTCTCTCCTTGAAGAAATCTGATACATATACAGCCTATACAGAACAGGGTATATACTTAGAATAGGCCACAAAATTTAACAGTGTAGTTTATCTAAGTTTTAAAAAACTATATACAGAATTGCACTAAGCAGTTATAAACCTAAGTATATACAAAGAAATACACATTGGTAGGTATAGATAAAAGAGACAAAAATTAGGGCTAGCAGGTGGTGTACTGGTGAAGGCGCTAGACTCCCACATGGCCGACCATGGTTCGAGTCCAGGACTTCAAAATCATGCTGGGCATGTGTGCACATGTGCACAGCCAAAAATCCCAAGAGGAGACTGGAGAAGAGACTGGCAAGGACATCGCCCCTGGTGGCTAATATCTCCCTTTCTCTGTCCCTGGCAAGTGCACATGCCCTATGGCAAAACCTAAAAAAAAAAAAAAAAAAAAAGAGAAAATATCATTGGTCATAGGAATTTTTTCAAAAGGTGATTATTCAAATTACTCAAAATCAAGAATTGGTTTGTCTTCTATAAATAGCTTCATTCTGCCAACACTTCGAAATTGTTCTTCATGTAACAGTTCAATTCATGCTAAAAAGAAAACTTTATAGGCAGAATCTTTTAGAATAAAAATACTGAGATTTATAACTTCCACAGATTGAGCTTAATTTCACTTTTCTATCCTAAAGTGGGTTTTAATCACATTGGGATTCATACTCACTAGGAATCATTGAGCCACATTCTCTGCCTTTGTAGTTTTCTCAGTGCAATTTTTTATCTGCATATTTAGCCAAATATTAGCAATATCACAGTACAGGCTGCCACCCAGTATACTTACAACTAATACTGCAACCAGAGCTCCCTGAATGAGTCCAGTCAGCACATCACTCCAGTGGTGTTTGTAATCAGAAACTCGAGACAGGCCCACGTAAATGGATGCAGCCACAAGACCAAACTGCAGTGTGGGGCGTAAGAGTCTTGCCCAGTCTCCCTTCATTCTGGCTTGAAGATAAAGCTAATAGAAAACAGAAGAATAAAGAAAACATTTTAACACAGCAACTGAAAACAGTATTAAGTGTGACCCCAATGCCAAAGGGCTATTTAATATTATCCAAGTATTATTTGTTAATATCGGACAGAATGTTAGGCAAGCATTCTTACACTCATTAATGCCTTTTGGGCAAAAAACAACAAAACTATCTGTTGCCCAGTAACTTGTATTTGGAAGAATTTATATTACCTATCTAGCTACAACACCCTTGAAACTAGACAAGACAAGAGAGTCCTTGTCTGTGACTTTCAGGAGCAGCACCTCCCCTTACCATTTGAGTTGTAATTCTGCTCATCAAAGGCAAATGGTTTAATTCTGAGTTAAGCTTAGAATAAAATGCTGGCATTCTGAGTACTCTGCCCTAACTCTGGGCTAACCTATTGTTTTTCTGCCCAGCCTAGCTAGAGTCTGTTTGCTTAATTCACTGAACAATTTACTTGAGCTGTGCTAGATCCTCCAGCAAAGGAATCTGTTCTTTTGTACCACCTGACCCCATCCCCTCCCCTCTGAATTCTGGGACTTTTCTCAAGACTATCAGACCTGAAAACTTCTCCTTTCCCATGTCAGACCACCTTCTTGTTTTTTAAAAAAAATTTCCAGAGAGCATGTGCAATTCCCAGAGTGGGGGAATAGAGAGGGAGAGGGGTTTTGAAAGCGAGAAAGCACTTCCCATGGAGCATGGTCATGCTGCAATCCATTCCTCTCCCGTTTCTCCCACCCTTCAGGATTTTGGTCACACACACACACACACACACACACACACACACACGGTCATGCACATTTTTGAAACCCTTGGTCCAGCCTTGAACTGTGTAGTTGGCCATATGGGATCCAGGTGCCTTAACCACAAGGCCATGAGTTGGCTCTCTTACTTTGGGTACATCTCTATCTAAAAACAACGTTGATGTAAAGAACTCTTTTGCAGATCTACTTGTTTAAGAAAAAAAAAGAAAGAAAGAATAAAACCTAATTTCTATCCAGTAAGTTTTTTTTTTTTTTTTGGGGGGGGGGGGAGGTTTTTCGCTATAGGGCGTGTGCGCTCGCCAGACAGACAAAAAGCAAGAAATCACCCCCCAGGGGGGATGGTCACGCTGCAATCCCTTCTCCTCCATTCTCCTCTCGGGATCCTGGGCACGCACGCACATGCGCCCGGTGTGAGTTTTAAGCCACCGGGTCCGGGGGACAAACCGCGGTCAACTACGTGGAGTCCAGCGACATAGCCATTACGCTAACTGCTGGTTCCCTATCCAGGTAAGAATATTCTTAACATTTTAAAAATTCTGTTCATTTAAGAGACTTAATACAATGCAGTCCTCAGAAAACATGGTTCTGCCCACTCGCACTGCCTATTTAAAATAGTTAAATCTTGGGGCCAGCAAGTGGCGTGGTGGGTAAGGTGCTGGATTACCACATGGCTGGCTGTGGTTTGAGTCCCAGACCTGACAGCTTGCTTTCTCACTCCTTCCCACCGCTCCCGAGGTCAAATTAAAAAATAGAGACCAGCTGGTGATGTGGTTGAGGGCACTGTACTCACACATGGCCAACTGCAGTTCGAGTCCTGGACCTAGCGGCTTGCTTTCTCACTCCCCCTACCCTCACCTGGCCTCTCACTCTGACCCTCTCTGGTCAAATTTAAATAAATAAAAGTTAAATAATTCTTTAAATAAAATAATTCTTGAAGAAAAAATAGTTAAGTCTATTCCCAGGGGTCAGCTGGTTTTATGGCGGTTAAGGCACTGGACATTCCCATATGGCTGACCATGGACCACGAAGTCCTGGACCTGGTGGCTTGCCTTTTCACTTTCCCTCTCTCTGTCTCATCAAATTGAATGAATAAAATAAGATCCATTCCCAGTTCTTAGAGCATCGCTGGGGTGTTCACTTCTCAGGAGGTGGCAGAGACACACAGAGGTGGTCTAATCAAGTATGTAGCATAAACATGTAATTTGAAAAGCGCATACCACTTATTTAACTGAGTCTGACTAATTAGCTACTTTAAATGCTGTTTATTGACTTTTTCTGGAGTTCCCCTCATTATAGCTTGTTGTTCAAGCTATGAACAAAGTAGTTAAGAACCTTCTCTCAAGATTCACCTTTTAATATTTCTACCTTAATTGGAAACTCTTTATTTTAAGGAGAAAAGTTCCTGACTGCAGCTTAAGCCAAGTTTTGTTGAAAAATTCAGTTGTCTCTTATTTGGCTTTTCAGCTGCCTTTGTTTTGTACAAAGGTTAAAGGTATAGGTTATCCTGACTATACAAATATATATACTTAGGAATTTACAGATAACTTATGAAGACAGACATCTTAGGGAAAACTGCTAAGGGCAAGGCAAGGGGAAAAGTTAACTCTGAAACAAACTTTCACTAGTCCCATATTATACTTTCAATCGGAAAGAAACAGAGAGAGGACTTCCTGGGTCTGACCTCATAGGGTTCGAAAATTTCTCTAACAATATTTTTTTTCCCCAAAGAAGCCTGTGACTCTGCATAGGTTGCAGGCATGTTAAGTATTTTGCCTCAAGTTTTCCCCTAACATCTTATGTATCAGTAATCAAGCAAGTTCTGATACACTTTAGGCAAAACCTTAACTCCTATAAGTAATTAGTTTTCTCCTTAACATCTACCCAAGTATAGATGTTTTCTCCATCAACGAAACACTGTGGATCCAGACATTCTTTCATCCAGCGGGGGCTCTGGGTATCCCCAATTGTGGGTCTACACCTAACCTTACTCTAGGTGCAGGCTCCTCTAGTGACTAATAATCATGAGCTGAGTGCAGTCTGTGGTCAGAACAATTCTGAGCTCTGGTTTGTGACGTTAGCTAATTGTGCCCCCTGTCCTCCTGCAACAAGTTCCCTGGAGTGAGGGTACCCAGTAGCCTTGCAGGAGCCAGGCACCTAAAATAACACTGCCCTTCCCTGTAAAGATTCCTCCATTCCCACAGAGCTTCAAGGAAGTAAACGCCGTTTCTTGGACCTCAGGGCCCCTGAGTGCCAGAGCTGATGTGCCTGGAACTCCAGACTTTGACTTCCTTTATTACATGTTGCAGGCTGTCTTCTATGTGAGGAGGTTCAACAAAGCACATAGCCCTCTTTCTGCTGGCTCAAGTTCCTGAGCCTTCTCAGGTTCGTCAGTGAAAATCTTTCTTTTAAGTGCCCACTCTGTGTAGGCACTAAGAATCTGGGTTCCTCTACCACTCATTTTGTCATTTCCCAAAACCTTGCCTATCATCTTTTTCATTCCTCAACTGTGGATTTGTAGCATTTTAAATTATATCCCTTGTCCTTTGAAAGGGCTTCTTGAGAAATTTTAAAAGTTTAAAATTTAGAAGTCTATGTCCAGTCTCTCTCTCTCTCTCTATATATATATATATATTAGCCAGGTGACACATGGGCTTATCAGAGAAAGGGAGAGGAAGAATGCACTCCTTAATGGGGTGTCATCATGCCCCAATCTCTTCTCCATTTCGCCATCCTGTTAGGATTTCGGGGACACACATACACATGCCTAACATGTTTTCCAAGCCACTAAAGCTGAGATTTGAACTAAATTATCAGCCATTTGAATCCAGCTCCCTTAACCACTAGGCCATGGGGCTGGCCCACCCCACAGTCTGCTGTCTTTACCTTGGAAGTTGTTCTACACTACAATGTCTTCTCCCCAGAAGAAAGAAAATGACTTAAGTGGCAAGACTAGGCGAGATTTGGATACCAGAGAATGTAACTCTGGTTCCAGCTGTCACTGTACAGTACTCATAATTTTGAACAAAGCAAGCTTTTGGCATGACTATTTCTGAAAAGAGTCTCCATTTCTCCATCTTTCTCTGGTTGACAGAGAAACTGAATAATGAAAACTTCTCAGCACTGTTCTATTAGAACTAGATATGGGGACACAGCCCACGCATTAATCTCAGAGCTATACTAAAAAGGCTCTAGAGGTCCCTGCCCTTACAAACGCCTCTCCCGCCCTCGTCCATGCCACTTGCTAGTCATACATGCACTAATCCCATTCTAGGTAAGCATTCCATTGCTTATCTTTTAAGAGTTAAAAAAACAAGAGCTCCCTGGTTCAGTACTGTGTGTGGCCTAAGACAGGCTTAACAGCAAGCAGGGTCTGTGACTTCCGGGATTCCCTCTGGGGCAGGAGGAGAGGAGAACTGCCTATTCAGCTTTGATTGAAGGGACAGGCCTACTTGGACCACGTGGCCCTCCATGCCTTTGCTTCTGGAAGGGACTGACAAGGTGACTGATACCAGGCCCCACCTAGAGATCTGCAGGCTGTATTCTGCCTCTGGAATTTAAACAGGAGAAGGAGTTCTTTACTTTTAGAAGTTATAAAAAGGGAACCTAAGGGGGAACCAGCAGTTAGCGTAATGGCTATGTCGCTGGACTCCCACGTAGTTGACCACGGTTCATGTCCCGGACCCGGTGGCTTGAAACTCACGCCGGGCGCATGTGCGTGCGTGCCCAAGATCCCGAGAGGAGAATGGAGGAGAAGGGATTGCGGCGTGACCATCCCCCCTGGGGGGTGATTTCTCGCTTTCTGTCTCTATGTCTGTCTCTGTCTGTCTGGCGAGCGCACGCGCCCTACAGTGAAAATCTCTCAAAAAAAAAAAAAATAAAAAGGAAGGGAACCTAAGGTACATGATAGGTTATTTGCAAACTGAATTTAAAAGGAAAGTAAAAGCTAGGGTTAGGCAAGAATAGCATGCCGTTCAGTAATAAAGGAGCACCGTGCAGCCACACTGAACCTCCAAGAGGCCCATGGGACACAAGAAGGTTCAGTCCTGCTGTGATAGTTCTAAGCATGCACATCTTTACTATAAGCCATCTGTTCCTTTAGGAGATCTAAGGGAATCTGCTGCTTGCAACCAGAAGATGAAAAATCCAATTGGCCTCCCTTGTATGTTTAACCTAAATCCTGGTTTTTTTAAAATTTGCATTTATATGACTAAAGTGGTACA